GAAATGCGATGTCTTTGAAGAGTCACCAACAATACACGAAGAGACAGAGTCACAAATGTCAGCATTAGAGACAAAGTTGGAACAAGAGAATGCATGAAACATATTGAAAGACAGAGAATGAAGTGGTTTGGCCATTTAGTAAGAATGCAACCGGATCAGATTGCCTATAAGGCCTTTTACAATAGAACATCGGGAAGAAAGGCCAGAGGAAGACCCAGGAAAAAAATGGATAGATGGAGTAGCTGAATACGGCCAGAAGATCCAGAAAACTGTCACTCAAATCACGCGAGAGGCACAAAACAAATATTTTAAACCACGACACTGGGCTGCAACCCGGTAGAAGTGAAGAAGACAATAGATAGATAGATTCATTCATTCATTAATCATGTAGCAGATCCTTTGCAGAACGTCGCTCTCATCACAGTTTGCCTGAAAGAAACTCGGTCTCTCGCCAGTTCTCCCGCCTCATGTACTTTCATACTTAAGGAGTCACTTATATCTTGTGCCCATCTTCGTGTCGGTCGACCCCTGTCCCTCCTTTCTGGTACCATGCTTTCTGCTATATTTTGTCCAACCCGTCCTGGCGCTTGATATGACCAAAATATTTCAGCTTGCGAGAAAGGATGCTGTTTTATTAGCCAATCTTCCTTGATGTTCAGATCTTTTAAGATGTCCACATTTCTCCTCTTCTTTGTCCAAGATATTCTGAGAATCTTTCTATAGCATTTCAGCTCAAAAGCCACTATTCTCTTTCTTAAGGACTGAGAGATAGTCCACGACTCACATCCGTGTGTAGCCACAGGGAAGATGCATGCTCTCAAAATTCTATTTTTTATCTCCTTGCTGGAGCTGAACCATACAATTATTATTAGTGAAGGCAAATATGCTGACTCAGACAGTATCATTGAGATGGGCTGGTTTTCCTGTATATTTCACATGAAGGCATGTGAATGGCTGCATTTATGTTTATTATAAGCCACAATCAAGAAAGAGCCCAGAAGATCCAAGGCTCCCAGGTACTTGCGAGTGTGAAGTTGAACCCGGTGACAATGACTGTGACGTGATGTCACTAATGCCATGCAAGATGCACATCGCAAAGGTGACTATGGCAACTAGCAAAAAAAACAGCGACCCTGGCTGGTTGAAATAAACATGAACATTTTATTTAGGGCACAAGACTTCTGGCCAGTCAACACAGAATGAACGTAATCAGTCTGTTACGCTCCTGGAGCCATTCAGGAGGAGATCAAAGCACCTAAAGATCTGCCTGGAGTGCTTTGATATAGCCCTTACTAATCACATCTTATGCAATAAATCTATCTCATCTGAGGTCCACAAATGTTTATTAGCTACTTAGATCCAACTTTAGCACATGAGCGGGAACCCTGGGCAGAAAATAGCAAAGACAACAAAAATCTCTCTGGTCGCAGACGGCTTTACAGAAGATCTTATTACAAATTGTCTTGGAGCTGATGGGGCGCTCAGGGGGTTTCAGCGGCCCTCAAAAAGACCACCATAGTAATAATAATGTGCGGACAGGCAAAATGAATACAAATATCTGAAATTATACAAAACGTATCAACAAGTCCTCAAAAGAACGTGTAGACTTGGTTTTGAAGGCAGCATGTATGTGTTTATGTATTTTTCTGTCGGCGAGAGGGAGCTCAAGGTTCTGAACCCTCAGGTTCCGACGCCCCTGGCGGAGAAGCCTCATGCCAACAGTAGCGACTTGGAGATAATGATGACGATGAAATATTTCAAACTCCATTGTAATCGTTTTTGTTTAACCCCCAAGAGTTAACCAAATGACGCCGGCTCAAGTCTACCGCTTATCCCGGCCAGAGACCACTAGGCCATTGAACTTTCTGCCAGCCGCTGAAACCAGCCAATGAAACCTGGTCTCTCTCTGACACTCCCCTCCCTACTCCACTGAATGAAACAATTTCAAGGCCGGTTTTCTTGCATGTCCTTGTCTTAACTCAGAGGGGTAATGCAACCACAAACGTAAATAAAGTTATCTCAAGTGAATTAAAGAAAAGAAAAGTGAAAGGAGAAGTGGCAAAACTTGAGCGGTATGGCTGGATAAGATAATCAGAGATTCATGTTACATCACGTGCTGGAGGCCGAGTATTTATATCTACCAATGACGGGTCTGGCAATGAAGAATGTAGGGTAACCAGAGCCAGGTCTTGCATCTCACCCAGTTTCCAGTGCTGGACCATGTGCTAGATGCAACATCTACCACAGTAGTAGATAGTGGATTTGTCGGTTCGGTTCTTTCTCTGTATTTATCGTAAAACATGTTATGTTTAAATTACTTGCACAGTTTACATATTGAATATATATGTTTTGTAATTTAACAATAATTTACATGTAGATTGGGCACTAATTAGTATAAGTTACTAATTAGTATTTATAATAAGTTACTTAGATCAGTATACACTGAGACTTAAACAGACTAGTATTTTTGTTCAAGTGTATACAATGAACTTGCGACGGTAAAGTAGTTTGTATGAATGTAATGTAAAGTATGTAATGTAGTATCATTAACGTGGAATTCAAACCAAAAGCGACTGGAACTGGACTGGAAGCGACTTTGTAACCATCCGGAATACTAATATTCAAATAAACAGGGTTATGTAATTTGCCCCTGCTCAATCTGAATAATAATGACTCAATGAGTCATTTTTGACTTTTTTCTAGCTGCAAGAAAGTGAGAAATATGATTTTTGTTTGTTAGCTAACAAAGTAAAGGAAAGCAAGAACATGTATTTCGTTAAGTTGCATTGCATGTGTCGGGTAAGAGCTTGCTACTGTATCAGGGCGTCTGCTAGAATGGACACACAGAGGCTTGACTGTGTTGTATATAAGTGGCCGTGGACCAACACAGACGGATGTCACCAAGGGGAAGACACATCTGGTAGGGCTGCTACATCTACAACCTCTAAACTCTGTAACACGGCATTTGACAGCTAGGAGACCCACACATAACATTTGCTCCTGCTGCCGTGCAGTGTTGCCCCAGTGGCCAGGGCTTTTCAAAGGTGCCGGTGCTCACCACAAAGTATCTAAGTGCCGGCACCCACTAAAAAACAGCGCTGAAACAAAGGATGCATAAACAAAAGGTGCCGGCATTGGGTACCGTTGCTGCTACCAGAAACAAAAAAGCCGTCCCTGACCCTGTTCGTCTGGGCTCTTGGAACTAAGCCTTCTTTAAGTGCCAAATAATAATAAAAATCTGCTGAATGGCATTTAAATATAAGAATATGTTTGAAATAATATCATGGCATATTTTATCTTTAAAACAAAAATGCCATCCATGGTTAAGGACTATGTGAGTGTCGCCATTTGATTCACTACAGTCTAATCCTCATGGTAAACGTGTTTCCTAAATGAAACAGCAACTAAAACTGAAGTGCCAGCGTGAATGCAGCGATGGGATGAATACACTTTTGGTCATGGATAAAGGAAACTAGTCGGAAAGAAGTACATAAATTGATAGATATGGTAAAGATAGAAAATAAAATATGGATCTCAGCTTGAATACAGAAGTAATGGTAAAATCGAAGATAAGAACTGTGCCTAACTGTGATACACGGCAATAGTGTAAATTTAAGTATGTAGGCACATTGATAGCATTATATAAAAGATCTATTATAGAGAATTTAAAAACAAATCGCTCTGAATGTGTTCTGATGCACCCCTACGTGGGGAGGGGGAGGGCAAAGGAGGGAGACATATTATCTCCCCCCACTCCCCCCCCCCTCCTGACAAGGATGTCATAAAAGGTTACTAAGTAAGGGGTTTTCTGCCTAAGAGGCCAGCAACAAACATTCTTCATACAAATTAGCTAGATCTGTATAACAGATGTGTATTTTAAGAAAGGAAGAACATCTTAGGCATGTCATTGGAGGTTGAATAAAGAATTTCTGCATGCTTCAAACAGCCAGTTCTAATTTATGGCTGTGAATTTGGGAAATTAAGAAATAAGCCAAACAATTCTTGAAGCCTCTGCAATTTGGTTTTACAGAAGAATCTTTAAAATTCATTGGAGACTCAAAAAGAGCATGCATGACATTTTGAAAGAGTCAAAGACTCAAAGACAATTTATCACAGACACACACAAAAAAAGACAGTCATTTGGTCATGTTATGAGAGGAAACTAAAACTTCTTGTGGCCACTTCATAGATACAGCCCACCTGATAATTTGACCTGAACATGCAAAACCAAAAACAAAGAAGAAGAAGACTTCGAAATGTAAGTGTGACCACCAAAAAAAAAACAACAGATTATAAACATCATATTCATACAAACACTGCTACCAGTACAAAAGCTTGGACATAATGAAAGACCAACCTATGTAACATTTACACCTGGGAGAAAGCCTGAGGAAGGCCTCATGTTTAACCATCAAAGATTAAGTGACCCCCCCCCCCCCCCCCAACACTGTGCACCAAATTCTCTAAGAAGCAGTAGATTACATAGTGAGGTCATCTCATTAGAAAGCAGTCATAATAACTACCAGCACAGGCACTACACCTGAGAAAATCTGCTTTGAAAGCAAGAGGGCTGCCAGTCAGAACATGGATTACTGACTTAAAGGACATACTATATTCAAGTGGAATAACAATAGCCAGTGCTAACTCTGGAGTAATGGATTGCAAACCACATCTCCTCATGATACTACATTTTACTGTCCAGTGCAGCATGCTGACTTCTCACATTATTCAATATGGCCAAAGCTGCTCAAGTCACATCTGTGATAACGTGTGAATATTATTTCTTATGTGTGTTAATAATCTGTTACCAAAAAAAATGTTTTTCATCTTACATGCAGATTTTGCCAATGACAGTCACTGAAATTAATTCCATAAAAACTTAACACTTTCACAGACTGAGTCATCCGTTCTTAACATTCACTAAAAACTTAACACTTTCACAGACTGAGTCATCCGTTGTTAACATTCGCATACACAGTGTCATCTAAGTGACCCCTGCAATGGCACAGCATATCAAGCCAGTGGAAGAGTTAGTCTGTGAAGCTGTTGCAGCTTTTGAGAAGCGGTTTGGAGTCAAACCAAGTGTAGCAGCAAAGGCTCCTGGCCGAGTCAACCTTATTGGAGAGCACACAGATTACAATGATGGATTTGTGTTTCCTATGGTACTTTTGTTTACTTTTCTATATGCATGCATAGAAGTTGAGTAAAGGACCTTTGACATGTATGCAAGTCACATAAAGGACATTTATCATGTATGTAATTCAAGTGAAGGATCCATGCCATGTATTTTATTCAAGTGAAGGATCCATGTCATGTATGTAATTCAAGTGAAGGATCTATTTCATGTATGTAAGTCCCATATAGGACTTTTATCATGAATGTAAGTCCTGTAAAGGATCCATGCCATGTATGTAAGTCAAGTAAAGGATCCATGTCATGTATGTAAGTCAAGTAAAGGATCCATGTCATGTATGTAAGTCAAGTAAAGGATCCATGTCATGTATGTAAGTCAAGTGAAGGATCCATGTCATGTATGTAAGTCAAGTGAAGGATTCATGCCATGTATGTAAGTCGAGTGAAGGATCCATGTCATGTATGTAAGTCAAGTGAATGATTCATGCCATGTATGTAAGTTGATTGTAGGATCCATGTCATGTATATAAGTCAAGTGAAGGATCCATGTCATGTATGTAAGTCAAGTAAAGGATCCATGCCATGTATGTAAGTCAAGTAAAGGATCCATGTTATGTATGTAAGTCAAGTGAAGGAAGGATCCATGCCCTGTATATAAATCACATAAAGGGCTTTTATAATGTATATAAGTCAAGTGAAGGATCCATGCCATGTATGTAAGTCAAGTAAAGGATCCATGTCATGTATGTACGTCAAGTAAAGGATCCATGTCATGTATGTAAGTCAAGTGAAGGGTCCATCAAGTAAAGGACTCATGCCATTAGTCACTGTGCTATTGTGACACACACACATACACGAGTGTGTGCACATAAAGAAACAGCAGCCCAGTGACTAGCATAATCGAGTGGCTAGAATGCTGAGCTCTCATTCAGAAGACCTGGTTTCAAATTTTTGGTAAGATGGTAAGTATTTTTCTGACAGGTGCAATAATAAAACCCTAACAGTTCGTGGTGTCTGAATTAGCCATGAGGCTCTCAATCCTCAGGATCAAGACCCCCACAACCTCATCCTACACTATCCTTATTTATATGTACACACACACAAAACCATTTTCCACACCGTGCAGTATAGTGAGATGTTGAGAGAGGGATATAGTTACAGATCAGTGTTATGCCAACCCTTCTTAGTTGTCATGCACAGCAGGTTACAATATTACTGCTGTATTCATGGCTTCACTTGTAATACATGGCTAGTGTCTTCATGCTGAACAAACCCCAGAACATGTCTTGCAAGTCTTGTCTTCTCTTGGCAGAGCTGTGAAGCAACATGTGGCCACATCCAGAAGACCTGACAACTAAGCTTTAGGTAAACCTAAGAGGCATTGAGATGACATCCCAGTTTATGGCCCACAGGAGATTAGTTGCATGACCAGAGATCGCTTCAACTTTGTATATTTATTTGGTTAAACAAATACCATATTTTAGCCTGCAATGACTGATATTGGCTAGGCTCGTGGTTTGTTAAACATAGAAAAATCTCAGCTGTGTTGTCTTAATATCTAACAAATGTAACTGTTGTCTTAGGCGCTGCCCATGGTTACAGTTATAGTAGGCAACCCAACAGCTTCTGGGACTTGTTGTATAGAAACACTTGCAGCAGGTGTCGACCACAAGTATGTGGAGTTTCCTGTCAGTCAGCTGAAGCCAGGCACCCCCAAGTGGTGCAATTATGTGAAAGGAGTGGCTGCTCAGATGCCAGGTTGGTGGCCATGTTTCCTCAGAATGCATGTTTGTAATGGGGTTGAAGATTGTGCAATGCCATGGTGTTCTGATAAGAGTGGCATCCAGATCTTAGCTACCTAGGAACAATTGCTGAATAGCATTTCTTTCACATGATAGTGAAGTATTTGATACAACAGATCTTTATCAAATAAAGAAGGGAAAAAAGTGTAATGAAGATTTTATGAAAGAAATTAACTAGATAGTTGATTATCCACATAAGAAAAGGAGCAAATATGCAGCCTAACCGACATCATACCTGGTGCAGAATGGATACCTGTGCCTCATTCGTTTATTTGTACATTTTCCTGTATTGTCACACTCAACAGGCGATGTAGAGAAGAAAATCCTGTTGCTGTTAATGCAGAGGTCAACGCTCTCATCGGTGAAAATTCAGACGAAGCAGATGCAATAATCTATACAGACGGATCCGTTATACGCCAAAGAAGAAGCGCATGGGCATTTACAGCACGCTCAGCGGGCAGAACAGTCAAAGAAGCCAACGGCGCCTTCTCCATGACAACCAGCATGACGATGGAGGTGATGGCAGTGACACAAGCGCTTGCCTGGCTTGAAACACAAAAATACACCCGCGTGTGTATACTCAGTGATTCAATGAGTATGATCCGGAGGGTTCAGGCAGGTTCAGTGCGAAGACAATGGCTTGAATCATTACAGAAGTCCACTGTCCGTGGAGTCACCTTTATTTTTGTTCCGGGATACGCAGGCGTCAATGGAAATGAAAGAGCTGACAGGTTGGCTGGATCCGCTATCACTACCGACGGTCAGCCTATGGATCATGCTGATATTATCAATGCCCTCAGAGAAATGGGAAGGATAGACGACTTTGGTGGCAGTGAATCTACATCACTCGCCAGAATGGCAGACTTGGGAATTAAGATCGGCACAGCAAAAAACGAGACGCACACCAGCTACACCAGAAGACTTGTTAATCAACATAGAACTGGTACTATTAGCCATCGGACGTTGGGGTTCATACTGAGGGAAGGATCTGAGCACCTATGGACATGTCCGGAGTGCAATGAGGATAACCCAACTAACTAACTAACTAACTAACTAACTAACTAACTAACTAACTAATAAGAAAAGGAATTCCACATTCTCTGAAAATTGGAAACCCTGAATATTTCCTAACAGAATAGAACTGAAGGCTGTGGGCAGATATGATGACCTATGGCACCCAGCACTAACTTTCAGAAGAACCATCAATCAGCCATTAAGACACCCAGCACTAACTTTCAGAAGAACCATCAATTAGCCATTATGGCACCCAGCACTAACTTTCAGAAGAACCATCAATCAGCCATTATGACACCCAGCACTAACTTTCAGAAGAACCATCAATCAGCCATTATGGCACCCAGCACTAACTTTCAGAAGAACCATCAATCAGCCATTATGACACCCAGCACTAACTTTCAGAAGAACCATCAATCAGCCATTATGGCACCCAGCACTAACTTTCAGAAGAACCATCAATCAGCCATTATGGCACCCAGCACTAACTTTCAGAAGAACCATCAATCAGCCATTATGGCACCCAGCATTAACTTTCAGAAGAACCATCATCCATTATGACACTTTAAAAAATTATTTGTGAAAAATAAAATATGGTAAGTACACCGTGGGTTTTACATCAGTTTATGAAATTAACACAGACAATTGACATCATCCAGACAAGAACACAGGTTTTGCCTGAATACAAGCAGATTTTGTTTGAATATAAGCAGTTTTTGTTTAAATACAAGCAGATTTTGTTGGAATATAAACAGGTTTTGTTTAAACAAAAACTGTGCCTGAATACGAGCACATTTTATCTAAATACAACCAGATTTTAACTTAACCCAAAATGAAATTGATGATGCAATCAGGTAAACCAGATGACCTTCATGGCTGCAACGATTTGGGGCTTCTATTTTTGTTGTATGTCACCAGCACTATCTCACTATGTGTGTTTGTCTCAGATAACTTGTGACCTTTTGACCGAACACAACTATCTACTTGACCTTGTGTTTAGTTTGAAGGATGATGTAAATATTTGGCTATATTTTTTTGGTTTTCATATAAAGGTCACAGCTTATCTTATAACAGACATTTACTGTTGGAGTATGAAAGAGGTTATGTTCAGTAGACTTCAGAATTAGAGGTGAGATTACCTGCTCCATTTCACTGGCTACAAAATGAACTGATTGAATTCCTTGCTATTATCATATGTAATGATAGACATTTATAGTCACATGTGAGGATTCACACACACACACACACACACACACACACACACACACCCCCCCCCCCACTCATTAAAGGTAAAAGGTTTTATCACTGGGGGCGGTAAACCAGTGGCTAGATGCCTGCCTAATAATCTGAAGGTCTGGTTCAAATCTGCATTGAAGAAATATAGATCTTGACTCTCTGTTTGACCCAGCCTAAAATTGGCACTAAGTATTGTCCTAGAAAGTAAAGGCAAAATAATATATGAATGCCATTTGGTCGCAGGGTTGTTAACGTTTGAATAACTAGTTAAAAAAGAAGTGGTTTTTATGTGTATTGAAGTAACTAAATATATCAGAAAAAGAAAGTTTCAAACCAATACACTGCTGTTGATGATTACAGACTGAAACATGACACATTTGTGATGATCGTCTGTAGAGATAGAAACCATTTAAGTAGTGTTATTTTTGCTGTCCTCCCTCCCCTTCCCTGCCACAATGACAAAAAAAAAAAATCATCAAAAATAAAGAAATGTATGAAAAAACTGCCCATCTAACAATTAGATCATAAAAGGCATCTAATTAAGAGTCTGCAGAAATCAGACATGTTGGGCTGCGAGGTTGCAAATATTGTAAGCTAACTGTAAATCACAACACAACGTCCAGCCAATCTTTTAAGAGTGAACACAGATGAAGAATGAGAAGACTGCCCAGCTGCACTCATTAAAGTTACTCTAAGTCTGCCATTTGAGCAAAGTGTTGGTCTACAGAGAGACAAGTGACAACCAGGCAATACAATTCGTGACTCAGATAAACTTTCCGCACCAAGTGTTTCCATATAGTGTGACATATCTTATCTGTCTGCTGAATTACTTCTTTTGCTGCTCATTTATAAGGCAACAATGTTATATTGCAGGAAAAATTCCTTCATTCAACGCAGTCATAACTACATCAGTGCCATTGGGAGGTGGAGTCAGTAGCTCGGCATCCATGGAAGTTGCTGCCTACACATTTTTGGAGCAAATCATGTTAGGAGCAGTTAATGGTACATCCCTAACTGACAAGATACTCAGATGTCAAAAGGCGGAGCATGAATTTGCTGGCATGCCATGTGGCATCATGGACCAGTTTATTTCTATGATGGGGAAAGATGGCCATGCATTGCTTATAGACTGCAGGTAGCTTTTTTTTTCTTCATTTGAGTTTTCTATTGACACAATAATTTGGGAACTGTCTCACTATAAAACATGTTGAGAAACATAAATTATGGGACGATTGTTTTAAAAGCTCAGATTATCAGCAGATTATTTGTTTAAGTTTCTTTTTCTGGCATTCATCTCCCAGTGGAGTATAGACCCTCAGGCAGTTGCTCCATGTTGTCCCAGACTTTTCATATTATGCAGCTCACCCATGTCTTCTCCATCTTTTTTGTTACATTATGTAATTCTCTTCTCCATGTGTTGTCTGGTCTGTCTGTATTCCTTGACTTTGAGGGCTCTGACTCAAGGATATTCTAGTTGTTACCAGGTTTTCTCAGTGTTTTTCTTATCAAACCCCAGCATCTTTTCCTCACCTCTTGATTCACTGGAATGTCTTTAATTCTGACCTGAAGCTTCATGTCAGTTCCTATGATTTAATTTACTCCATGCACAGTCATCAGTTAATGAATGTAGATTTTCTGGGTCAGTTTTGATGAAACAAATCTGTACGTTATATGCTTTCAGTATGTGTTTTTGATCTTGCCGAATGATCTGCTTGATTATATTGTAATTATAAGGGTATCTATAGTTACCTGGCTCCCAGGTCGACCCAGCCTTGCGTGGGTACCGGGTGCAGTCCCAGGAAGTAAAAATGGTCGGCATGATGCTGACCACATCACATATCTTTTGTCGATTGGTCTATAAAAATATAGGTCTAGCCCTATATACCCTATACGCCTAAATGCGTGGAAAAAGGTCCTTTAATTTGTTTCTATAGTTACTGCTGCAGGTCACATTAGGGTGAGAATTAAATACCCAGGCTAGACTTCCATCTTCACTTATCAGGTAATTTTCTAGTACTTGTATTAGACTGGATTACCTGGAAGCCCACAACAGCTGGATTCAAACACAAAATAACTTGGTGGGCAGGCAAGCATGCCAGCTGTTGTGCTATCACAACTCATCTTCAGCACAGTTGTCCATAACAGAGGCTAGAAGAAAACATATTTGTAGACAGACGAGAGTAGATATAGGAAAAGAAAACAAGCCAAGAGTTGAAAAGAGAAAAGGAAAGTTGACATGCCACCTGCTATGCAGTTCACAAAATGGGAATGGAGACTGAACCTATGGGCTTATCCTGAGTTCAGAAACATTGATTCTTTGCTTCTTCTTATATGGATTCCTGGGCCCCTTAACTATTGTGCTGAAAGACACAGATATGGCAGCCTAGGTGTGAAGCACACACTGTACCAACCACCATTTTAAGGGCAAACCCAGAAGAGGAAGAATATTCTTCATCATGACAAGTTCTAGTTCCTAGTCACTCTAGGCTGTGAAGCTGATAGCCTCATTAGATGATTAGCAAATTTCCCGGTACATCTTTTCTAGATCGCTAATTACTGTATGATAAAGTGGTTATCCTAAAGGCTGTCTGTGATCAAGTACTAGTGCAGCAGACAGAAAGTATCCATAGCTGAGCTGGGAAGTGATTTAGTGGAGGATGAACAGATGGTCTGCATGATTTTTCAGTGCACATGGAAAACAGATATATGAGCCTTGAAATTGGATGGAAACATTTGAGAAAAGATTCTCATGATGGATCTTTAGACCAGTCAAAGATGCAAATAGTGGAGAAAGTGAAAAGCAACAATGAAATTCATAATCTGTTAAAATCACCACTAATTATTAGTATCATGAAGACTAATAGACTCCACCAGTTGGGGCATAGAGAGAGAGAGAGACAAAAACTACATATACAGATGAATGGTTTAGACCAGGGTTTAGACCAAGAAGACGAAGAGACAATATGCAGCCTTATGAAAAACTGTAGTCATTAACTGTAAGGAAAGGTCAGATAGAGAGAGGAATGGAGGCTGGTGATATCTGCAGCAGTGAACCTCAAGGGCTCAGAATTCTGAGGAAGAAGAACAGCAATAGACCGGTAAATTTTTATTCCGACTGTAAATTGTCACCATCAGACTGTGAACTCCTCTTTGGCTACTGAGGAAGTAGACAGAGCATGTGCAAGAATGTCCTGAGTGCAGTGATTTCAATGCATGACATTCATTTTCCCATTGGTGAAAAGAGTTAGCAAAAGAATTAATAAACAAATTGTTGGCAAGTGTTTATTAGATACCCTTAATATGCTAGTAGTACACAGTTACGCAACTTTCTACATTATTGTCTAATTTTATTCATCTTTTTAAAATTCCAATACATCTAGAGCCCAACAAGGGCGGCTGGTTCCAATGTCGGATCCTTCAGTTGTTGTCTTGGTGACCAACTCCAATGTCAAACATGAACTCTCCGGGTCAGAATATCCAACCAGGCGCAAACAGTGTGAGACAGCTGCTGAAGCTCTTGGTGTTAACAGCTTGAGAGATGCGACAGAACTGCATTTAGAAGGTGAGCACTTTTTTGTGAACTTTTCCTACTTTTTTGGTTGATGCTAAGAAACACTCCAAGTTGATGAACCTAAACAATGACCTGGAAGCTCCCATAAAAATTCTTCTTCATCCCCTTATGGGTTTAGGGGCTCAAGAATAGGAAAAAAACTGATCATTTAGTTTCCAACAACAAAAATAAAAGTCAATATATCTCACTAGTAATCAAGAAATCTGAAAATAAAAAATTTAAACTGTTTAAAAATGCATAACAGAGAAATGGTCTTTAATATGAAATCAGAGTCTGAAGGACAGTCATTCACTGATATTGTTAAGTACTCCTACTTAGATAACAGATAGACTAAAATAACTAGAAAATTATAACATGGATGAGATTGCTTTATTATATGAGTTTCTTATTATATGGGGACAATTTGGGAAGTGCAAGAACATAGAACTGGCTGGAGTGAAGAAAATATGAACTTCAAACCAGACCAGTAATTGAATGTCTGTAATTTGTAGCAGCAGACAAAAACACCTTCTTCATGAAGCCTTGGATTTAGCTACGCGTCACAGGCTGAAAAAAATAATGTTTTGGATAGCACAAGCAGAAGACACACTTAAGAGATGTGTGTAGGCTTGAAAACGCTGGGCATGAAAAGGAATGTGTCAAGGTGTCAGAATAAATCAGGTTTGCATAGGTTGCAGGGATTGGCTAGCAGAAATCAGAAATTCAACGATTCATGCCAAAGACAAACGAATGATGCTTAGTGCAACAAATCCTAGTATATAATTCCACAACATCTAGTTTGAGAATAGAGGTGGAGGCAGTCACAGCAGTCTTCTGCTTGCAACTACACATTTTGTGATTGTAACAGACTCATAAAGCATGCCGATAAAGGTGGATGAAATCGTGCTTGATGCAGAGTGGCAAGCATTGCTTCAGCAGTCTCAATTATAACACAAAAGGGTTGAACAAGATATCATTTATTTACTACTACTGTTTTAATCTCAATGTTTTTATCTCTTATATTATTGTTGGTTTGTACACTGATCTTTAAATGTTTTAACTTTTGTATTTGATTAGAACAGAAGAAAGCACTTGATGAAGAAACTTACAGCCGAGTGAAACATGTTGTATCGGAAACTCGGAGGACAGTAGAAGCTGCCACAGCTCTTGAAAATGGGGACTATAACACATTTGGCAACCTGATGGTTGCTAGTCACATTTCACTTAGGTATAATTTATTTGTGGAGCTCTTATATGATCTTTGTTTATATGTTTGAATGTGTTTGAGCGTGTCTTGGACCATTTTTCTATCTAATACAAAACATCAATACCTTTAAAATTAAGTGTGATTGAACAATTCTTATATTAGAAAACCATCAAAGAAGCTACTGACATTCTACACAGTTGTGAATTAGAACTAGCTCACCATGCAATATTCATTAAAGACAGTAGTGAATGCACTGCCGCAGACTTTCATTGTGGAGATGCACATATACAAACAATGCTCATAAACCATACTATATCTCAGAAACTGACATACACTGTACACATTAAAAGCTGCAATAATTTAATAAGAACAGTAATGGAGGGCAGGGTTCCCAAAAAAGAAGCAAAGATTTGCCAGCGTTAAGGTGGACCTAGGAACCATGGACACAGAAAAAGAATAGGCAGGCAGGGGAAATTATAAGGGACATGTGTGCAACCAGTCAGCTCCTGGAACAGCCAGCATCTACACATTAAGGCATTTGCATCAGAGACAGGCCAATTGTGGGTATGACTGGTGTGCTATAATGTTGAAATAAACTATAAATTAATAATCAGTATTTAGGTCACTTTTACTGGCATCTTTATCCATACTTTATGTTATCAGTGCCAAACATGGACAGTAAATAGGGCCTAGAACAGAAAATACCTACATGTGAAATGTGCTGTCTCCGCAAGGTCATAACAACAGGGTTATGAATGCCAGCATTAGAGAGAAAGTTGTAATAATATAATGTCTGGAATATATTGACAGACAAAGAATGAAATAGTGAGAATTCAGCCAGACCAGACTGGGAGAAAGGTGAGGGGAAGACCAAGTAAGAGATGGATAAATAGTGTAGATGAAACCTGCAAAAAGTTGAACAAATCCATCACTTAAGCGACCCGAGAAGCGTAAGATAAATACAGAAAAGTACGACAGTGGGCTAAAACCTGGTATCAGTGAGATGACAAAAGAAGAAAATTCACAAATGTGTGTCTGTTTAAAATCTACTTTCTTTTTTTTTGCCCCATCTGTTGGTTGTGTAATAATTAACAAACATGTGTGTTTAGGGATGATTATGAAGTTTCTTGCAAGGAACTTGATGACCTGGTTGACTTTGCGCTGGAAATGAAACCTGAAGGTGTTTTTGGGTCGAGAATGACGGGCGGTGGTTTTGGAGGCTGTACAGTGACCCTGGTGAAAACATGTGCTGTAGAATCAGTCATTGCTCATATTGATGTGAGTATCTGTGATTCTATCATTTATTGTTTGCATACTATGCATAGCTTTTTTTTGTTAGACTACCAACAAATGGAGCTGCATCTAAACTGGTGTGATGATTTGCTTTATTTGCCTCCACCCCTCTTTCGGTTGTCATGTCTGGGGGTTCATGCAGTCATATGCCTCCATGGGTATAAGCTTTCTGTGTTTTTGATGAAAAAATGTATTTACTTTCAAACTATTTTGCAGATATCTACCATTTTTTGTTCACCGTGTCTCCAACAATGTAAGCTCTTCCTGTTTTCACAATGTCCCCAGATCACCTCTTCTTACATGGCAGAAGAAGTCTTTTTGTCCCTTCATAAGTGAATCCTGTATATAGCTGTTCTAAGGAAAATAAAATCCAGATGAAGGCAGCCACTGGAACACTCCCTATCCAGAATACAGTCCTGAACACCTAATCAACCTCCTCACATAAAAAAACCTGACCATTATATTTAGACTGAGGACTCAAAACTGCCCATGTTGACACCCCAGAATATCGAACATGTGCACTAGAGAGATCCAGGTCTAGCCAGTGGTATTCTGGTGGAAACCAAGATGTAAGGATTAGTGGAGGACGTGTGTCACACCATAGCCTTCATAGTGGCATCAGACCGTCTCATTCATAAACCAGTGGCAGGGAGAATGAGAAGATGAAGACATGGCTAAAAAAAAAATGGTCTCCTATACATCTTGAATGTTGGTCTTTGTAGCTGGCAGCTGGATTGTTTGCAGAAACCACATCTGATATATATTAATATATATCTTGAGAAGAAATCAAAGTCTCAGCTGAGTGACAGTGAGCAGTAATAGTACCGTAATGAAGAAAGAAAGGTAATAGGAGAGAGTTTGTAGCATAGTTAAGATGGCATGATTATGACATTAGGGATTCCTCTTTCCCTCAATCTCTGATTTGGATTAAGTATCGGTACTCCTCTGTTATTGTTAATGATAGAGTTTGGGTCTCTTTTGATCATGATTTTCACATGTTTATAGAATTCTTGTGGACAGTTCTGATGCTTCTCTTCTTGCTAATCTACAATTAACATAATGTTGATAGTTTTCTGTGACCTCTGTAATTTTCTTGTATAGTTTGTCAGTATCTGTGGCCTAATGGTTGTGAATGTGGTTGGTAGTTTTGAAATACCCAGTTTGATTCAGATGCACGTGATTAGGCAGCAGACCATGATATGTTTATTTTGACAATGGATGGAGAGCCAGCCATTCAAAATGTTATGGCAAACCTTTAAACATAAGATTACCTAGTAAAACCACAACAGCCAACATATACTGGGATTGGCTTCCAACGTCCTGTACAAGATACACAGCTAACTTGTAAAAACCTCTATACCAGGATCATTTAGCCGGTGGCCCACAGATCATTGCCAGTTGTGTTGTATAATTCATGATATTTCTCAGCTGGGTCTCTGTCTGACCCATGACAATCCCCATTTAAACTTGGTTGAATAGCCCTGCCATGCTTCCTGTAATTTTCTAGAAACTATGTTTAAGGCAATAAATTTTTTCTCTTTTAATACCATACTTTAAGTTGTTTATGTCAGCCTTTTTTTGGTTTTGTTTCAGAGCAAGTATAAGGCAACGGGAAATACTGCAACTTTTTACATTTGCCAACCTTCAGACGGTGCTAGCCGGGTCAGCTTGCACTAGACTAGAGTTACTGGTCTTGTTAAGTTCCTGAACTACGCCATATTAATATGTGGAATGATGAATCCTGTGAGAGTTTGTTCTTACAAGGCATTAATTACTGTTTGTGTAAACATTTTTATTGGATTAATACTGGCCTGCTGTGACATTTGTTATAACATTTTATACTAATCAAATGTTGGCTATCCTGTGAATAATGGCCACATATTATGGCGGCCAAAAACGCACCCTGACAGGGCCTAAATCACATGTAAATTGCAGATTTCCTCCGATGAACCCATCGCGGCAAAACTAACATTACTGTCCATTGACAATTTCAAGAAACGCAACAATACACACGATAATAGCAACACCGCGGGGAGACCACGCGCTCCGACGCAGGTTAGCAAAGGTGTTCTTCCGATTAAACTCACCATCGAGCGTATTCATTGCGTCGCTACGCGCGGTGTGGATAGGGGGCTAAACTAGACGGCTGGGACTCACAAGCAGCAGCTACCGCATCTCCTGCAACTTCCTCCAGTTTATTTGCTCTTGAGTCCCAGCCATCTAGTTTGGCCCCCTATATGCACCGCGCGCAGCAGCGTGGGAGATACTCTCGGCGGTGAAAACTGCGCTACCAAAGTAGCACCGATCATATTTAGCCGAGTTTGGAATGCACCACAGCCACAAAGAGCAGATTTTCGGTCACTATTTACAACTTCTGTGCCATTCTTTTCAGATTGTAAGGCCTCAATTATCGCTTAGTAGTCGATTTCGTCATTTTTTCCCTTTTTTCGTTCCTCATTATTTTTTAGTTCAAGTTTTTGAATGTTTACAACACATGACGTAATGAGGCCCTGTCAGGGTGTGTTTTTGGCCGCCATAATATGTGGCTGTTATTCGTAGGATAGCGAAAATGTTATATCAGACCAGTGAAGCAATACTTAACAAGATAATATACCTGTTATGAAAATCTTTGAAAGTGAGAGCTAAAAAAATTGTTTCATTGCATTAAACTATAAAAAAGTTTCAATGATCTGTAATCATGTGATGAGAAGGCTTAAAAAAAAAAACATTGTGACAACTGGAGAGATCCATGGTAGATGAGGCAAGGCAAGAGATGATATGCTGAGGTCTGGGAATTTTTATGTGTGTCACAACTGATCACTTCAGTTCACTGTTAATTCACCTGTATATTTGTGTCATTATCATGCTGAATGTAAAAATGCAAAAGAAGTTCTTGCATTATTGTCATCACATTGCTTGTTTTTATTTGTTGGAATCTGCATGCAGCCTTCCCAACTAAACTGACATATTTCTTCTTTAAAATTTTTTTTTTAAAAACATGTTTATTATATTGATTTGTATTGCTAGCATTGCTTACTAGATAAACAGTGCCTCTTGCAAAAGCGAAAAGCTACTTTTTTACTTTAAGTTACAGAAAAACAATTTTTTGGTTGTCACATATATAATCAACATCATGTTTTCCTCACATTTTTGTAATGACTGAGAAGGTTTCATTAAGATCCTGACACTTCTAGATTTTGTGGTTTATTTTTTGAAATAATTGTTTCCAGATGCTGCCTCTGTGTTCTTTCTCTATCAGTGTGATTTATTTATTTTGGATGGCACAGTTGTTCTAAATGCTTTTTATACATGTAACTCTGGGGAAATAGTATTTATCGGAAAAACTTGTAGCATGCCATGAATCCAGAAAAAATGCTGACATCCAGTAAGATCTTAACATTGATAGAAACAAAATGTCATTTCTTGAAAACTGACCTGCTATAACCAGATTAAATAGCACAGGATCTTAGAAGAACAGTATTGAATTGCATGGTTCTCAGAAGAAGAGTTTGGTGTCAACTGGTAGAATGGTGTGGACACGACAACAAAGATCTACTTTTGAAATTTATTAGGCACAGGAAACCGTCCAATGACCACGATAAGATAGGTATTCTGTGCATGCACGCACACAGACCTAAATGAATTTGCTAGACCAAACCACTTCATAAGGGAAGTAACTAAATCCTACCACATGCCCATCAACTTTAAATAATACTCCAACTCTTCAAGACTTTTAAATGTAGGATGAATTCACCCCTACCCTGATGGTATTTTCATATTTTAAATGTGACTGAATTGTCGGAATGCAGTCTCATCAGGGAGATCCAAATTCCAATTCCCAGTGAAGCAATGATAATTTTTCTGTTAACCCGCACTCCCCTTTTTGTGTGTTTTAGTTTGAGGTGGTTGCGCTAGACATGCAGCTCTAAGTTCTGTTTCATGATTGTTTAAACATGTTACTAGTATGTTTTCGTGTGTCTTAATGATTGTTTTAATGTGTTTTGGTATGTTTTCCTGAGTAATGTTTCATAATGAATATTTTAATATCTTTTTAATTGACACTTCCATTTCCTGATTGTTTTAATATGCTTCTAGTATGTCTTCCTGTTAAATAATTGTTAATGTGTGTAAATATGTATATTAAATAACATTGGCTGGCCTTGTTAAAGCAAGTGAACCTTTATCATTCATATCTTCTACAATATCTTGTTGCTCATCTTCTGTATTTAATTTCATTACCATTTTTGTGCAGGGAAACCCACGGTTTTTTCTTCCTGGAACCAAGCCTTCCATTAGTGTTCTCTCTGGGTCATGGTGACATGTCGTACAGCCAATGAGCGGTAGTGGCTTCATCCTTTTGTCCCATTAGAATCTTAAATGAAAACGTTTTTCCCTTTCAAAATTTCATAAAAGGAAATGCCTCCAAAGAATTCTCTGAACCTGTACCTGAATCAAAACCAGACGAGAAGAAGAAGCAGAAGAATTTTGCAGTCTTGTCAGTTTTTATACAATTCAAGGGGTTGTAATCTACGACCATCAAGTTGACAGGCAAGCCAACTAGCTATTACATCATATTGCAGCATTGTTATGGGTTAAATAACTTTTTTTTAAGTAAGGGAATTAATCACTTTTTTTAAAAACAAAACAAAAAAGAAATTGATTCTCTTCATGTTGACCAAGAAAAAGGGATTTTTTTTAAACACAACATGTCATAAGTTTTTTATGACATCACACCCCCCCCCCCCTCCCTATAATCATATCCAGCACATCTACACACCATGCAGCTGCAGTCACTATGACAGCTGTCACATATATATTGTGGCTGCTGCCCAAAGACTTCATATCATATAAAACACATAATTGCTAGAAAAAAGGTTTTCTCAGGGCGAAAATATTAAAGAAAGGTGATATTCTATCCCTGCTTCTTTTCCTTACCAATGTAGATAGGCTCAATGTTCTGCAAGCAAAATCATATCTCAGAGTAGCTGCAGACAAGAAGCATCTCCTGCATGAAGCCCTGGACAGAGCTAAGGGTCACAGACTGAAAAGAGTAAGGTCTTGGATGGTGCAGTCAGACTTGCTTGCAGTGTCCGAGCAAGTTTCAGTCTTGTGTAAGGTTGTTATCACTTGGGTCGTGAGTGCAGGGACTGGCCAAGCTGGCGCTGCAGAATCAGAAGTTCAACAAATGATTGATGACAAGTGATGTGATTATCTATACAGATGGCTCTGTGCTGAGGGGGCAGACAAAGTGTGGGGGTTCATAGCAAAAGCGAATGGATGACGTTAGGTGCAACAAACCTGGCATGTGATATAAGTCTAATTTGAAAATGAAGGTGAAGGCAGTCACTGCTGCATTCTGCTGGCTTGAAAATCAGCTGGTCACATGTTGAGAAAGTTGGAGACAGGTATGCTTTGTGCAGAGTGGCAAGCATCACTTCAGAGGTCCCGGGAAGTTAGTATCCTTTGCATATTCTTTCCAGATCATGCCGATGTGTTCGGAAATAAGCAGGCACATGGACTGGCCCTTTCTGCACCAGTTGGTGGTGAACAAGCCAGATGTTGTGAGGGCCCTATGAGTGAACAGTGCGGAAGCACAGATAGATCATTACCGTCTGAGGAGAGTGACGCTGGGAGGATTTACCAGGGGATCTGGCCTATGCTCAACGCTCAAGGGAAAGGGGAGGTGGATATACAATCAGACAGTTACTGGTGCCATCGGAATTGGAACTCTTTGTTTGCTGCTGAAGATTAGAACGGAGCGCTTATGAAAGTGTCCTGAATGCTATGATTTCGATTCTTAATTCAACATTCAATTAAAAAGCCACTGCAGAGATGGGTGGAGGCAGACGATTCTGAGCAACGAATCAGTAAAGATATTAGGAAATTACTCTAATCGGGTATAGACAATAGATATTATTTTCACCAGATAAAGATATGAGCAAATTATTACTTTCAGCAGATACTTGGGGAGCAAAGTGATATCATTATAAGTTTAATGTGACATCACAATACCCCCCTCCCCCATACGTTGGTTATTAAAGACAATAAAACACAGAAAATTGAAATACTTTGGTCACTTGAAATGTCACGAAAGTTTAGAGAGAAGTAATAGAGTGGTATATGCCTGGGAATAAAGAAGAATACTCTAGAATACAAAAAGAAATAGTGAACAAATGCAAAGTGGCTAAAGAAGCCTGGCTGAATCAAATGTGTACAGAGTTGGGGAAAACAAGAGGAAAGATTCACATTCCATATACCTACATATAAATATGTTAACAGGAAAGATGATACGTAACAGCACTGGATGTTTGAAATCAAAAGATGGTGACTTATTAATGGGACATAGTAATATAATTAACAGATGGACAGAGTATCTAGAGGAATTGTATGATAATAATAGACCAGATATAGAACTGCAGACCAACAATGATGGTCCGCCAGTAATGATTGCAGAAGTTGAGGATGCAATACATCATATGAAGAAAGGAAAAGCACCCGGGCCAGACAACATCTCACTGGAAGAAATCGAAGCACTGGGAGATTTTGGAATTGAAATAATAACTAAACTTTTTAATGATATTTATAATAGTGGGTATATTCTAAATGACCTTTTAAAATCCATATTTATAGCTCTGCCTAAGAAACCAGGCACTTTAAAATGTGAAGACCATCGCACA